TTTTTCACAGAAAAATAAACAAATCCTGAAATTATTATGGAATTACAAAAGATCCTGACTAGCCAGAGCAATCCTGAGCAAATAGAATGAAGCTTCAGGTGTCACACTTCCTGATTTGAAGTATATTACAGAGCTATAGTAATTAATGCAGTATTGTATGGACATAAACACAGACATATACACCAATGGAACAGAATAGAGAGCCCACAAATTATTCTCCACATAATTTTCAATAAGTGCATGATGTGGGAAGGATAGATTGCACAAAAAAATACTGTTCAAAAACTTGTTTATCTACATCCACAAAGGTAAAGTTGGACCTGTAAAGAGGGTTATTAAAGAGTTAAGGTTATGGCCTGAAATGTAAAACTTAGAATAAAACATAGGGGAAAAGCTCCTTGACACTGATCTCAGCAATGATTTCTTTTCTTAAGATTTGACACAAAAAGCACATACAACAAAACAGAAATAAATAAATTGAACTATATCAAATTGTTTCTTTATAGAAAACAGTAAACAAGATGAAAAGATAACTGACAGAATGGAGAAAATATTTATAAACCATATATCACTTATGGGTTAAAATACTCAGGATATATAAGAAACTCATACAACTCAATAGCAAAACAGATTTAAAAACTGATTAAAAAATTGGAAAAGGCCCTGAATAGACATTTTTACAAAAAAGGTATGCAAATGGATAGTAGGTATACAAAGAGATATTCATATCATTATCATCAAGGAAATACAAGTAAAAACTATCACCTCACACCTGTTAGGATGCTATTATCAGAACATCAAAAGAAATAAATATTGGTGAAAAGGGATCCCTCGAATGCTGTTGGTGAAAATGCAAATTAGTATAGCTTTTATGGAACACAGAATTGAGATGACTCAAAAAATTAAAAGTAGAACTAAAACATGATCCAAAAATTTCTCTTCTGGGCATATAGAAAAAAGAAATAACATCACTATTTCAAAGAGACATTTGCACTTTCAGATTTACTGTGGCATTATTTATAATATTCACAATAACTAAGATATGAATACAACCTAAATACCCATTGGTATTTTGAAAATTCTTGACAAGTAGATGGATAACCATTTGATAACCATTGACAAATAGATGGATAAAGAAACTATTGTACATGTACACAAGGAATATGATTCAGCCTTAACAATGTAGGAAATTCTGCCATTTGTAATAATTTGGATAAACTTAAGAGGATGATGTTATGCTAAGAGAAGCCAGGCACAAAAAGACAAATACTATATGATATCACTTACATATGGAATCTGTGTTACAAAAAAAAAAGTCAAACTTCTAATTACAGAGAATAAAGTTGATTACCGAAGGCTATGTAAAGTTGATTACAGAGAGGAATGGGAAAATATCTACAAAAGTGCAATCTAGTACATTACGGTGACTGTAGTTAATAATAATTTGTACTTGAAAATGACTAAGAGAGTAGATTGCATACGTTTTCAACACATACACACATGCACACATACACACACAATTGAATAAATCAAGAAACCCAGAAACCCTACAAAGACAAATTCAGTTAACCACTTCTAGACAACATCAAAATCAAACTTCTGAAAACAAAAGATTAAAAACTTTTTGACAGCAACCAGAGAAATATAATTTATTATGTTGAGGAAACAACAATTCAAATGACTGCAGGTTTTTCAACAGGAACCATGAAAGACAGAAGACAGTGGAACAGCATCTTTAAAGTTCTGAAAGAAAACAACTGCTAACTCACAATTCTATACTCAGTGAAAACACACTTCAGAAATGACGATGAAATAAAGAAATTTCAGAAAAACTCAGAATTGTCATTAGCACATCTGGACTAAAACCAGTGCTAACAAAAGTTTTTGGGCTCCAAGAAATGATATCAGAAGAAAACTTGGAACTTCGTGAATGAAGAAAGAGCAACAGAAATGGTAAATATTCAAGTAAATATGGCAGATTGTTTTTCTTCTCTTAAGACCTTTCAAAAATAACTATTGAAAGCAAAAATTATGTCATTGCTTGTGGGAGGCTTTAATGTTCTTATATGTAATAAAAGTGACATTTAAAACAGGCTGGAAAGCAAAGGGCTATATGTGATTATATGTTACTTGACATGGTAAAATGTATTGACTATTAAGAGTTAGGCATTATATTGTAATCCTTAAAGCAGTGGCTATAAAAATACTAAGAGTTATCAAAAAAAAACCTATTAAATAAGTTAAAATGGGATGCTAAAAACCTGCAAAAGGATAGGAAAGAAAGGGAGAATGACAGAAAGCAAACAATAAAATGGTGGACCTAAATCCAACCATGTTAGTAGTTACTTTGTATATTAATAGTTTAAACATCAATTAAAAGAGATATTTTCATTAGGTTAAAAATGACTCTATAGATAAAGAAACCCACTTTTAAGTATATTGATAACATAGGCTAAA